CTGTATTAGAGTGTCATCACTCTAGATGAAGGAGCACAGGGGGCACCTTTAAACAGGGACATTGTAAGTCTGGGGGGAGGGGAGTGTTAGATATACTATCAGATTTAAATACATAAACAAATTGAAGCCAAACTCCAGCTAATACTTTATAAGCAGTTACAGTAAACAGTTTTTAAGACGTGGAAGAAAGCGAAAAACTACCATTCGAATGGATAGAAGAATAGCCAGGACTCAGCCAACAATCAGCTCCAGGAAGATCAAAGAAGGTCTAAAGTTCCCTGTGAGTACTGTTACAATTAGAAGACGCCTATGTGAAGCCAAGCTATCTGCAAGAAGCCCCCGGAAAGTCCCACTGTTGAAAAAAGACGTGCTGAAGAGGTTACAATTTGCCAAAGAGCACATTGACTGGCCTAAAGAGAAATGGCGCAACATTTTGTGGACTGATGAAAGTAAGATTGTTCTTTTTGGGTCTAGTGGGCGGAGACAGTTTGTCAGACAACCCCCAAACACTGAATTCAAGCCACAGTACACTGTGAAGACAGTGAAGCGTGGTTGAGCAAGCATCATGATATGGGGATGTTTCTCATACTACGGTGTTGGGCCTATTTATCGCATACCAGGGATCATGGATCAGTTTGAATACATCAGAATACTTGAAGAGGTCATGCTGCCTTATGCTGAAGAGGAAATGCCCTTGAAATGGGTGTTCCAACAAGACAACAACCCCAAACACACCAGTAAACGTGCAACATCTTGGTTCCAGACCAACAAGATTGACGTTATGGAGTGGCCAGCCCAATCCCCGGATCTTAATCCAATAGAAAACTTGTGGGGTGACATCAAAAATGCAGTTTCTGAGGCAAAACCAAGAAATAGAGAAGAACTGTGGAATGTAGTCCAATCATCCTGGGCTGGAATACCTGTTCACAGGTGCCAGAAGTTGGTTGACTCCATGCAACACAGATGTACAGCAGTTCTCAGAAACAGTGCTTATACAACTAAATATTCATTAAGTGATTCAAAGAAAAGCAAAATCTTCAACCATTTTTCAGTTTATATAGTGAATGTTTGAGTTTGTAAAGAAGAATAGAAACACTGCTATTTTTTTGAACAGTCTAATATTCACTTTTCTTCAATTTTTTTAGAGGAACAACACACATTTGATATATTTTTTCTTCATGTTTTGATTTGGAATAGAACGTGTAGTGTTCCCAATGCATTTGTGTGTATGGAAAAAAAAGCTATTAGAAGGATTTTGAGCTTTATTCACTTTTTTCGACACACTGCTATTATTTTGAACACAACTGTATGTATCTCACTTGATGCAGTGCAAAGAAACAGACACAAATATTGGAGGCCAGCTACATTTTATCTGCTTATTTACTCTAACTGTTTACACCCGTCATCATGGCCCATAATAAGAGTCCTGCTCTTACTCCACGATCCCACCACTATGACTAAGCCCTGTCGGTGGGGGGAAATGCGTTAGTGGGGCATGGCCTGGGAGGAGCCAAGGTTTAGGCCATTCTAGATCAGCACTGAATACTTAGGTTGATTGGTGTTTGGTGTCTTTTTGCTTCAGGATAATTTACTGGGCAAAGATGAGCTCCATGAATGCCAGCACCCACTTCTCCAGTGAATCACCAGAGCATTAGCAGTGTCCTTTTGAGAGGCACTCAAAGCCATTTTTTGAGCATGCAATTTGGTGGCCGCAAATGTTCTGCATTTGTGAGATGCATTTTGGGTTCCTTTAACAAATAATTGCCACCAGTGTCCACATGAGATGAGTAAAATGTAAACGGCGCATACCTTTCCCACATAGTTTTTCCAGTGTGAACAGGTCCTAAATCTCAGGACTCGATAAACAATCCCTTGTAAGGTAGAACTATATGTGGATTTCTGCAATGTGTTTAGCCAATTGGGTGAAGTTCAGCCCAAAAAAACATTGTCTTATTTAACCAAAAACCGCAATGGGGAAGGGAAGGGCATGTACAAGAATATAAATATACAGTGCACCCTGCAGCAATATTTAATCTAAAAAAAATGCCTTTTTTCTAAGCGTGTTGCTTGAAACAAAGTCAGTCTTCAGCACTATCCTGCTTCTGTTGGTTGAAGACACCAAATAACCATTGCACACAAGGATATTCCATGTAACAAAGCTCCATTCCCTTAACAACACACAATCTTTTAGGAAGTTATTTGTAGCCTTCATTTCAATTATGGTGGCAGTTTGCAATCAAAATTACACCATATATTATTATTGTAGTTTATTGTAGAAGTGTTTCCTAACTATGCCTTTAATTACATGTACGTGAAAGTAAAATATAAAATAAATATACATAGAACCTACTAAGACAAATGGGAAAAGTGAATAAAGCTGAATTAGCAACAATTTTTTTTGCAAACCATGCCAAAGAGTCTGTGAGTGCCTACAGGTCATCAGAACAGAATGGGCTTGATTAAATAATTCTGCTCATTATAGCCAACCAGGAAGATAATTGTAAATGCAGAACCCCTAGGTGTTCTGGTCACATGATGCATACTATAGATTATAAATGTATACTTTTATTAAGCATCCAGGGAGTTTAACTGTACAAACATAAAGTGTATTCTAGAAAATATGTCATAGTATGTTTTATGTTGTTTTAATTCTGCATGGAAATACCATTGAATAAATGATAGTGTATGTAAAGACTGAATGCCTTGTAGGTCCAAGGCAAAATGTAAGGATGACACAGTGCCTCCTATTGGCATGATGAAATTATGGGGTTGATTTACTAAAAAAAAAAAATAGAGACTAATAATTTTGAAAAAAAGGTGTTTTTGTGTTTTAAAGTGAATGTTAGTGAATAAGGTGAAGCTGGGTTCAATACCTGATCATGTTGAATACCTTCTCATGTGTTGGCAAAAATCTATTTTTTTATTTAAAACCCAAATGATCGAGTATTCAAAGAAAATACGGGTCCACCTAATGCACTTTGCAATGTGAGCAGCCACTTATTGCATACTTTAGTAAAGCCACAGCAATGACTAAAACAATGATGTTGATCAAATAAATAAAGGCTTAATGTTTGCAAAGTGAATGTCCATTGAGTTTGGTAAATATGATGACATTGCATTAACTTTCAATCAATCAATCAATCACGTGTTGGTAAAAAATCCACCTTTTAATATCCCTCACACAGGTTCATCCTTATTTACTATAATTTTTTTTGCAAATTGAACATGCACTTTTTAAAGTAAACATATTCTTTGCTTAGTTAACAGCCTTATGCTATTAGTAAATTAACCCCAAAGCTTTGACAGACACTGGTAGCCTCTATGCAATAATAATGCAGAGGCTTTCTAAAGGACAAAGTATACCCCAAATACTTTTTAAAATGATAAAAAAAAACATTTTGTCACCATCCTTAAAATTCATTAATTCCTAAAAAGAAGACATTCTGAGCGTCTAATTACATAGTTACATAGTTATTACGGTTGAAAAAAGACACAAGTCCATCCATTTGAACCAAAAATTTAATTGTTTAGATTGGATATGGAATCAATCAAATGTCCATGAAGGATCTTCTGCTTACTGAAAAGCTGTCACAAAACCTCCCTTTCCTCATAAATACTACAGATAAACAAATCCATCCAAGGAATTTAAAGCCAAGTTCCAGGTTGAGCACTCCTTGGTTCTGAGTACACTCCATGCCCCCTTCTTTATAAAAACAAAATCCTCTTTGGTCCACTTCCTTCTCTGTTTTCCTTGGGTGGGATGTCCAGAAAGCTTTGTGTTGTGAGCCCAGTAGGGTGTGTTTGTGGCTTCCAGGGCTCATAGAAAGTGGACAGAATGATGCTGGCCTGGCAGTGTAGAATGGAGCAAAGTGCCTTTGGACAAAAGGTGAGTATTGCAGCAAAGGCTGCTTTTTTATTTTTCAGGGCCTGCTAAATTTTATTTGTAGTTATTTGTTTGCACTGCAGTTGGATCTTATGCAGACTCAAGTCTTGTGAGGATCAATATTAAAAAATGACTTTGTCGGTAGGTATCAGTATTTACGAAAATTTACTTAGTGAATATACCAGTTGGTAGATAGAGCATCTAAAATGCTAATTGATAGGCTAGCTGAAATCTTAAGACTGAAAGATTGCGAAGAGGAAACTGATAACTGATGTAGGTTCAGCACTGGTTGATACCAGTGAAAACCTGTGAAAATCTTTAATTTTAAAACTTAGACAAAATGGAAAAGTCCACGTTATTCCTTCACTAAAGTCACTATCAAACAGAACATAACAAGAAAAAAAGACAAATATTTACATTTGAATTCACTAAATTCACAAGTCAGTGATGACAACCAAAATGCCAATTACAATTGTACAAGGAAGAGGCTACACTTTAACTTGAAATCCATCATTACTTTAATACCCTGTGAGTTTCCATACCAGAATTTTTGTCTGTTGTCCAGAAAAAAAAACAATGTCAACAGATAAATAAAGGGTTTACAAAACACAGTCCAGGTGTATCAAATGTCTATGGGCAAAATTCACTAAGCGGTATCTTACCACATCTGAGTATGTGGTAGAATACCGCAGAGCATTTAAAAAAAAAGTTTGAATTCACTAAAAAACACTACTAAAATACTGCATGAGTTATTTTATCAAGTCATGCAGTATTTTAGTAGTGAAAACCATGCATTAATGTTTCAGCTGTCAGCGGGGTCCCCACTGACAGCTGAATGTGAAAGAAATAATTGCTGGCAATTAAAATATAATTAAAAAATAGCATGCCCCACCCCCATCCATACCATGCCCTTTGGGTCTGGTATGGATTTTGAGGGGAACCCCTAAGCCGAAATAAAAAAAAAATGGCGTGGGGCCCTGTACAATCCATACCAGACCCTTATCCGAGAATGCAGCCCAACAGATCAGGAAAGAGGGGGGATGAGCGAGCGCCACCCCTCCTGATCCATACGAGGTCTAAACATAGGGGGGGTGCTTTGGGGCAGGGGGCTCCCCCCAAAGCACCTTGTCCCCATGTTAATAGGGACAAGGGCCTCTTTTCCACAACCCTGGCTGGTGATTGTGAGGATCTGCGGGTGGGGGACTTATCTGAATCCGTAGGCCCACTTTAGCAAGGGGGCCTCCAGATCCCAGCCCCCCTATGTGAATGAGTATGGGGTACATGGTTCACAGGCCAGGGTTGTAGGGAAGAGGCCCCCAAAGCACCCTCCCATGTTGAGGGCATGTGGCCTCGTATGGTTCAGGAGGGGGGACCTGCTCATCCTCCCCCCTTTCCTGACCTGCCAGGCTGCATGCTCAGATAAGGGTCTGGTGTGGATTTTGGGGGGGACCCCAGGCCTTTTTGTTTTAAAATTTGGTGTGGGGGGTTCCCCTCAAAACCCATACCAGACCTGAAGGGCTTGGTATGGATGGTGGGGGGAACCCACACAGTTTTTTTTTAATTATTTTTTAATTGCCAGCAATTTTTTTTATTTTACATCTAGCTGTCAGTGGGGAACCCTGCTGGCGGCTGATAACTCATGGGTTGTTAGGGACTCCGCAACCTCCCATTCCTTAACAACCCATGACAGCCCACATGGAAGAAAAATATATATGAAATATATTTTTAAAATATTATTCCCAAATATATATATATATATAGATATATATATATATAGACATACATTTTAAATACTACACTTTTGGCCGTATTCAATATACGTCAAAATATATTTCAATACATTTAATCTACATTTTTGTAATGCATATACAAATATAAGTAAAAATATATGTTGTTAAAATGACTTTTTTTATATGTTAAAAAAAATCTGAAGAATATATTAAAAAAAAAAATATTTTTAGAAATATTATTCATATATATTGTAATATATAAAAAATACATTTCAATATGCAGTATGTATGTATATATATATATATATATATATATATATATATATATATATATATATATATATGTACTGACAGATACCAGCACATACCACATGCCTAGACCTCTACGTAATTACCGCATGTAGTTCATTATTTATTTCCTTTTGTGAATTGACTTTAAGGTCTTTTTATGTGGTATTTACAGGGTGTTTTTGCTGTTTTCTGTGAATACCGCATACTAGGAATAGTGAATTGACATTTTCAGTATTGCATGCGATACGTGGTCATGTGACTGACTTAACTCATGTGATAAGCATTAGTGAATTGTGCCCAATATCCTAGTATTAAACAGGGATGAGCAAACCGGTCAAAGTTCAGTTTACTGGTGGTTTGGTGAATCCACAGGATGTTTGTCAACCCTGAACATATGGTACTACAAACCCTACTGAAGTATATGGTAGCTGACTTGCTATCATCTGTCCTTTTTCAGGACTAATTTGTAAGCTGTTGTTAAAAAAAAGTACATGGGTAGCTAGGCACTGCCATTGGGGATGTGTACCAATGCAAAAAAAAACCAAACATTTATTGTAATTGGAGTCTTTTTGTGAGGCAAAAGGGCAACATTATGAATGTTAAATCATTTAAATAACATACCTTAAAGCTGCGTGTGAAGTTACAGAACAGTGCAATGTTTCATTGAAAAGGTGACATTTAAAATAAAACAGGGGGTGCATGCGCGGTCTACTCCAGGATGACAGCTTGATAGAGAGAGCTCCGTCCCGCCGTCAGCCTTAACCGCGGCACACACTAGACCTAGGGATATTGAAGCCTTTCCCCAATCACATAAGGGGACACAGAGGCTTCTACCACCCTCCGGACCATGCCCCGACGCTGCCCATCACCAGGGCAGCCAGGGAAGCTGACGAGCTTCTTCCCAGCTCTCAGCCCCTGCATCCAAGATGGCGCCAGTTCCTCACAAGACAGTCTCCTCGCACAAGCAGAGGGAGACGCAGCGCAAACCACGGACCCCAGGCTCAAAGCACCACTATACCCAGGAGACCCGGGTGAGTCCTCTCCGCCCCTGTCTCCTTCTACAAGCAGTCTTGCTAAGTCCAGACCCAGACTGGACATACAACCTATATCTGACCTGCAACCTTCCTATCCTGATACATTTACTGCTAATTCTACTCCATCTTTAATTGAAAACTTTCCTGCTTCCGATCATCCTATCGCTGAAATCTCAATGAAAAGTATGCTACTATCCCTGTGACAAACACTACATGACGACCTGACAGCAACTATATCGCAAATCTCATCTGCGGTACAAAATCAGGATCGATGCATCCGCCACATTGAGAACAAAATGGAGGAAATGCTCACGGCACACAATGACCTCATAGACGCACACACAGACCACGGAGCTGACATAGAACAAATTAACCTAAAATTGGCAGACCTAGAAGACCGCTCCAGGCGCAACAATATTACATTCCGCGGAATACCAGAATCTATCACTACAGGTGACATAGTCCCTTACATCCAGCAATACATGAGGCACCTCACCCCTTCTCTAACAGATGTGGAGCACGCCATAGATCGCGCACACAGGATACCAAAACCATTGTTCCTACCAGCTGCAATACCTAGAGACATCCTAACGCGTGTGCACTTCTACAACGTGAAAGAAAAAAATCATGATTGCTGCTAGAAACCCTACCTCAATTCCGGCATCTCAGACGAATATCAAACTATTCACAGATCTATCCAAAGCTACACTTCTCAACAGCAAGAAACTTATTACCATAACAAAAGCGCTGCGGAACCATGGAATCGGCTACCAATGGGGTTTCCCCACTAAGCTCATTGTTAAGCATCAAGGAAAGCTCTACACGGTCAAAACCCTAGAAGCAGGCATCGAACTCCTGAAAACATGGAACATCTTACCAGTGGACTCACACCAATCCACCTCTACCCGACCACAACAAATGGATGCAGAATGGTCCTGAACCAATAGTCCCTAACACCATTCACTACCCAACACACTGGGTAACCCCTCAAAACCACTAAAGGCTGACAGATGGCTCCTAACCGAACATTTCTAAACTTCAAGTTTTTTGTCAACATGACTCCTTTTTTGAGTAATGTATGTTCTTGTTCCCCCGTTATACAGTAGCAACATGTGCTACACATGTTACTTGTATTTTTCACAAGTCCTTTTTAACCCTCTACCCACCTCACACCACCAGTCGCTCAAATCAACCTCTTTTCCCTCAAACACCTCTATTACAAGCGGTAAATACCCTCCTCAAACCAGCGAACATATCAAGTTCACTACTTCTTCTCTATGGAAGCTTTACATCCACAACAAAGGAATATCCATCTTCTTCCACAACTTACGAACCATTTCTCCTACTCCATGCACCCAGCAATATGATTAGCATATCATCTTTGAATGTCCGGGACCTTAACTCTCCTTACAAGAGATCTCTACTACAAAAAGAAGCTCGCTCTTTGCAAACTGATGTCCTATTCCTCCAAGAATCCCACTTTGTCTCACCAAAATTCCCAAATTTAACTTAAACCACTTCTCATCCATATATATGGCAACCAACTCAAAGAAAAATAATGGCGTCATCACCACCATAAGAGACTCCCTCCAATTCCAATATATCTCAGAAATAGCAGATCCACAGGCCGCTACCATATTTTGATATGCAAGATCAACGAAATCCAATATACGCTGGTCAATATCTATGGGCCAAATACCAACCAACTCCAATTCTACAGCAAAATAATCTCAATCATCTCTACCCAGAGACAAGGCAGGCTACTATTAGGAGGAGATCATAACTTCATAACTTCAGGACTTCATAAACAACCCACTCCTGGACTCTTCTTCCAGTAAACGCTCCTTTTAAACATACCTTTAATCGCTTTCTACACAACAACAATCTCTACGACATATGGTGATGTCAACACAGTACAGAAAAAGACTACACCTATTATTCTCTGGCCCACCTCTCCTACTCCAGAATTGACTTTTTCATCACAGACAAGTGGACCCTACAACATATCACCTCCTCCAAGATCGGCACCATAACATGGTCGGACCATGCTCCAATTTCCATCACTCTAGACCACAATCAACATACTATGATCACTCGAATATGGAGATTGAATTCAACCATACTGAAGAATCCAGACCACAGAAAACATATATTGGACGCTCATAATATGTTTTTTGAAATGAATGAATCACCTGATATCTCTATACCTATACTATGGTCCTGTCAGGGCTCCCGGGTATGACCAGAGGTGTGTGACTGACTCAGGGAAACGCAGACTTCAGATATGTTATAAACAATATAATTTATTAACACTAACAATACAAACATAAACGCAGTGCAATACTAAAACATAACACAGTGCAAACAAACCAAACCACCCACAGATAACAGTACATACAATGCAAGCGTCGTCAGGCAGGCCGGGTCAATATCAATCGGGCAGGTAGGTACAGGGGGAGCAAGCGGAGAATGGTCGGGGTCACAAGCCAGGTTCAGCAGGTAGCGGGCAGCGTGGTACAGAGGGTCAGGCAGAGGGATGGTCAGGAACGAGCCGGGGTCAGAGCAGGAGAAGTCAGCAGAGGTCCAGATCAGGCAGGGTCAGCAACAAGACAGGAACAGGAACAGGATGCAGGAACAGGATACAGGGCCCAGGAAAAACACACACCAAGGCAGAGTCTGCAGGTCTGGCCGTCCCTTAAATACACCAGTATAAGCAGTTTCAGGTGTTTGGCTGGCTGCAAGGTTGAGTCTCTGATTGCTGGGAGCACCCGCTGGCCAGCCCTGGTACTGCAGCCCATAAGGCAGGTGAGTCCCACCATTGCTGGCCAGTCCATTCCTGACAGGTCCACTTACAAGGCATACATGAGAGGTATTCTTATTCAACTACCCCCCTCAACCACCGCCCGGGTCTGGTAACTGGCGGGATATCAAAGACTGGCACACCGGGCAGGACTCCGGCAGCGGCACACCGGGCAGGACTCCGAGCAGAGGCACACCGGGCAGAGGCACACCGGGCAGAGGCACACCGGGCTGGACTCCGGGCAGAGGCACATCGGGCTGGACTCCGGGCAGAGGCACATCGGGCTGGACTCCGGGCAGAGGCACATCGGGCTGGACTCCGGGCAGAGGCACATCGGGCTGGACTCCGGGCAGAGGCACATCGGATCACCAGGCGAAGCAGCAGGCACCGGGCCACCAGGCGGAGCAGCAGGCAGCGGGCCCCCAGGCGGGGCAGCAGGCACCGGGCCCCCAGGCGGGGCGACAGGCACCGGGCCCCCAGGCAGGGCGACAGGCATCGGGCCCCCAGGCGGGGCGACAGGCATCGGGCCCCCAGGAGGGGCGACAGGCATCGGGCCCCCAGGCAGAGCGGCGGGCGCTGGACCCCCAGGCGGAGCGACAGGCATCGGCCCCCAGGCGGAGCGGCGGGCGCCGGACCCCCAGGCGGAGCGACAGGTCTCGGGCCCCCAGGCGGAGCGGCGGGCGCCGGACCCCCAGGCGGAGCGACAGGTCTCGGGCCCCCAGGCGGAGCGGCGGGTGCCGGACCCCCAGGCGGAGCGACAGTTCTCGGGCCTCCAGGCGGAGCGGCGGGCGCCGGACCCCCAGGCACAGCGACAGGCACCGAGTCACCAGGCACAACAGTGGGCTCCGAGTCAACTGGCATGACCGCTGGCACTGGGTCAGACATTGGATCATCTGGCTGGACAGCGGGCATCGGGTCACCAGGCATCAGGTCATTTGGCTCGACAGCGGGCACCGCGTCATCTGGCAAGGCAGTGGGCTCCGAGTCAACTGGCATGACTACGGGCACTGGGTCAGACATTGGATCGTCTGGCTGGACAGCGGGCATCGGGGTCACCAGGCATCAGGTCATTTGGCTCGACAGCGGGCACCGCGTCATCTGGCAAGGCAGTGGGCTCCGAGTCAACTGGCATGACCGCGGGCACTGGGTCAGACATTGGATCGTCTGGCTGGACAGCGGGCATCGGGTCACCAGGCATCAGGTCATTTGGCTCGACAGCGGGCACTGCGTCATCTGGCAAGGCAGTGGGCACCAAGTCACCAGGCACGACAGTGGGCTCTGAGTCAATTGGCACGACAGCGGGCACCGGGTCATCAGGTACGACAGCGGGCACTGGGTCACCAGGCATCAGGTCATTTGGCTCGCCAGCGGGCACCGCGTCATCTGGCAAGGCAGTGGGCACCGAGTCACAGGCACGACAGCGGGCTCTGAGTCAATTGGCATGACAGCGGGCACCGGATCAGGTACCGGATCGTCTGGATCAACAGCGGGCATCGAGTCAACTGGCCTAATAGGATCATCAGGCTGGATCAGTTCATCAGGCTGGGTAGAAACATCATGCTGGGTAGAGGCATCAGGCTGAATGGAGGCAGGCTGAATGGAGGCATCAGGCTGAATGGAGGCATCAGGCTGAATGGAGGCATCAGGCTGAGTACAGGCATCAGGCTGGGTACAGGCATCAGGCTGGGTACAGACCTCAGGCTGAAGTGCGGGTGCCGAGGCACCAGGCTGAACCACGGAAGGCAGGTTCTCAGACGGCAGGCTCACCGGTTTGGATACTGGCAGGATGGTATTGGTTGGAAAGAATTTTCGCTTTTTTCTGGTTTTAACTACTGGAGCACTGCAAGTAAACGCAGGTCTGCAAACGAATGGAGCAGCTGGAGACAGAGAAGAGCTGAAGGATGGAACAGGGGAGGGAACAGTTGCTACAGAGGACTTCTTTACAGGGTTAAAGGCAGGATAGGTGCAGCGAGTGGGAACAGGGTACTGACATGCGGTAGATAGCAGGGCAGGAGGAGCTGTTGGGAATGCAGGAATAGAGCTTTGAGGAAATAGATTAGAAGCAGGACTGGGTTTTTGTAAGCTGACTGAGGCTGGGTGCAACAAATCTGTCCATGTCTGCAGTATGGGTTGAACAAAGCTCCGCTTACACAAAGCCTGTCTGACCAAAGACTGCACTGCTTTTATACAATCCCTTAATACCTGTGGTGAACATGCAGAATAACGCTCCAGAAAGTAATCCACATCATCCTCTAATAACCATACCAGGGACTCTACCTGGTCGGCACTAAATGGCGGCAAAAATTCATCCCTGCATTCGGGGGTACCAGATGAAACCAACTCCGCACTGAATCAATGGCATCGCACCTCAGAGAATTCTGTGCCCCTACTAGAACATGAGCGAGCCGTATCAATTCTGGCATCCCTGGGATACTCCTTCAGAGTCTGATAATTCTAGCAGATATAAATGCCATCTGATCCTTCTATGGCTTCCCTGTGCAGCCACTTCTGGTCAGGATTGGCCTTGGTGTAATGTCAGGGCTCCCGGGTATGACCATGTGACTGACGCAGGGAAACGCAGACTTCAGATATGTTAAACAATATAATTTATTAACACTAACAATACAAACATAAACGCAGTGCAATACTAAAACATAACACAGTGCAAACAAACCAAACCACCCACAGATAACAGTACATACAATGCAAGCATCGTCAGGCAGGCCGGGTCAATATCAATCGGGCAGGTAGGTACAGGGGGAGCAAGCGGAGAATGGTCGGGGTCACAAGCCAGGTTCAGCAGGTAGCGAGCAGCGTGGTACAGAGGGTCAGGCAGAGGGATGGTCAGGAACGAGCCGGGGTCAGAGCAGGAGAAGTCAGCAGAGGTCCAGATCAGGCAGGGTCAGCAACAAGACAGGAACAGGAACAGGAACAGGATGCAGGAACAGGATACAGGGCCCAGGAAAAACACACACCAAGGCAGAGTCTGCAGGTCTGGCCATCCCTTAAATACACCAGTATAAGCAGTTTCAGGTGTTTGGCTGGCTGCAAGGTTGAGTCTCTGATTGCTGGGAGCACCCGCTGGCCAGCCCTGGTACTGCAGCCCATAAGGCAGGTGAGTCCCACCATTGCTGGCCAGTCCATTCCTGACAGGTCCACTTACAAGGCATACATGAGAGGTATTCTTATTCAACTAAACGCCCCTATCTCTAAACAAAGAAACCAACAAATAAAAACATACTCCTCATGTCAATTTAAACAAAAGAAGAATTAAACAAAAAACATCCCCAAACCCCTCAACCTCTACTTCCCTCACCACAGATAGAAACAAACTCAGATCCCTCTTACTTTATAAATACGACCTCAACCTTCAAAAAACAAAAGCTAAATTTTACTCCATGAGCAACAAAGCTAACTCCCTATTAACCAAAATGATTAAACACCGACGCTTAAAATCCAAAATATCCTCAGTTCATCACCCAACCACACATACCTTAACCACAAATCCACAAGAAATAGTTAATGCTTTTGCGACCTATTACCAACAGCTATACAATCTTAAAAACAATCCTAACACTATCCAACCAACACTAACATCCATACAACAATTTCTTCACACAACCAAACTCCCCCAACTCTCCCCATCTCAACTTGACGCTATATCTACTCTGATATCTAGCACAGAAATAGAAAATATCATCAAAACACTCCCTCTTAACAAATCTCCAGGAAACGATGGTTATACAAACACATTTTACAAATATTTTGCCCCTAATCTATCACCATACCTATCCACACTCTTTAACCATGCTGCCACCACGGGCATATTCCCCAAAGACATGCTACAATCGATAATAACAACAATCCTAAAACCTGGCAAAGACCCGCAACTCGTCCAAAATTATAGACCAATCTCCCTACTCAACACAGACATAAAACTTTATGCAAAAATTATAGCTCGCAGATTACTCCCTTATCTTCCTAACTTAATACACCCAGAGCAAGTAGGATTCATACCAGGCCACCAAGCACCCAATGCCACCAGAAGACTTATATCTCTTCTCCACCATTTAGAACACACCAAACAGCCCTCAATACTCTTATCCTTAGATGCAGAAAAAGCATTTGATCAAATACATTGGCTATTTATGCGAATGACATTACAGAAATGTGATATTACAGGATGGATGTTAACAGCCATCCTATCACTATATTCCCTCCCCTCAGCCAGAGTATTAACAGACGGAACGTTATCAGACCCCTTCGATATCACCAATGGTACCAGACAAGGCTGCCCACTATCCCCCATCATATTTGCATTGCTCATTGAACCCTTAGCCTCTAAACTCAGAGATGACCCGGCATTTACTGGCATCAAGCACCTTAACAGTGAACACAAAATTAGCCTATTTGCAGACGACATCATATTGATGATTACCAACCCAACCAAATCCCTCAAAACAATACGAACGCACCTTCAACAATACTCTACGGTTTCTTATTATAAACTCAATGAACCCAAATCTTCAATCCTAAATCTCCACACACCACACCAAACCCAAATATTACTTGCTAAACAAATCCCTTCTCCTGGTAAAAAAAAAAACATCCCCTACTTAGGAATCAAACTCACCAAAACAACGGACCAACTATTCTCCTCAAACCACAAAACACTACTCGAAACTATACCCCAAGAAATTGCCACCCTACGCACCTTAGGACTTTCCAAATTAGGCCGAGTTGCGACCTTGAAAATGTACATCCTACCAAAAATCCTGCACATCTTTCGCACACTCCCCATACCAGTTCCTAACACCTTCTTCTCCAAATTACAATCGATTCTCTCCAGATTTTTATGGAACTCTAAAAAACCTAGATGCACTACCAATCTCTTAATACGCCCATCTTCCAAAGGAGGCGCAGGCCTCCCAAATTTAAAATCCTACTATAATGCCACTCTTCTGGACCAAATATATTTTTGGTGGAACCCAACCAGAGAAAAAATCTGGTCTACAATGGAAACCTTACCCTTCCTTCCACTTAAACCCCAAAATTTACTTCTAATTCCACCAATGTCACAAACAAATTACCAATTAAAGCATCCATGTATCCAAGCCACCCTTCAAGCCTGGCGCGATCTTCTGACCATGGAATACACAGACCCCAAACGAATTATCACCCCAATTGACATATTACACTCCATTACACCCTCAATCGACCTATCCCAATGGGAAAAAACGAAACATACACAAAATAACAGACCTCTATAAAGACCACGCCCTGCAGCCATTTCAAAATCTCCAATCCACGTTCAATTTGCCTTCCACGGAATACTTCACGTATTTAGGAATTGTCCACTGTATGCGAACAAAGAGTATACCCCCCACCACAAAAATCCCTAATACTGCCTACCTTTTCTTTACAAAACTACAATACCCAGGTAAAGGTATCTCCACTTTCTACAAATACATAACGAACCTGCAATTTGCTCTAAAATCTACCTCTTTATCCAATACACGCATGGAGCACAGCATTTAATACCACTTACAAATCATCCTGCTGCAGCTCGCATTGGGAATCATATTATAAAAATCCTCCACCAATGGTACCTAACCCCGGTCAAACTTGCCATGTATTACCCAAAAAACTCCTCCTCTTGCTGGCGACAATGCGGAGACATAGGCTCAACACTACACATATTATGGTCATGCAAATCAATAAAATCCTTTTGAAAAAGTGTCTTCCAACCACTCTCTGAAATAACCCAAACAGTGATAACCCCAAACCTTTCACTCGCGCTTTTACACATTGGGATTGAAAAATTCCCCTATACCACTCGCACCATCATTGTCCACATACTTTTCGCAGCAAAAATCACTCTAACCAGATTATGGAACACCACTACTGCCCCTTCTTTCAAATCACTAATTACAGATCTTAATTTCCAATTAATGCGAAATGGAAAAAAGATCGTCCCTCAACAACTCGTCCTAATACAAATTCAATTCCCAATGGACTAGTTGGTTACAACATCCTAATTGCTCAGTACAAGTCTGATTTCGTACAAACAATTGAACTACCCACCCATTTTAGACGGGTACTCCTCTCTCCACCCTATTACAATTTCCCCCTCCTCTCCCTGCCCTCTTCCTCCCCTCCCCTGTTTAACACCCCTCTACCATTTCCTACACCTCACCAAAGTTCAGTATATATCCT